ATAAGATGGGACAGATTGTTAACCATAAGAGGTTAACGCATGCTGTAGGAGACCACTTAAAACAGTGGTCACCAACTGGTCAATTGCAATCTACTGGTCAATCCTAGTGGATCTCCCAGGCAATCATGATCTCCGGTGGTGCAGTGTGGCTGCCACTAAGGCAGACTCCCTGCTTACCCTGGCCCCATGCCGCTCCTGGAAGCAGCCAGTGCAGCCCTGGGGCCAGGAGGGCAGGGGGTCTCCCTCTGTGCACTGCTCTTGCCTGCAAGCACCACCCCCACAGCTTCCATTGGCCAGGAGATCTGTGGGGGCAGTGCTTGCAGAGAGGGGCAGTGCACAGAGCCACATGCCCCCTGCCCGGCCCCAGGGGGTGTGTTGTTCCCTTCTGGGAGCAGTGTGGGGCTGGGATAGGCAGGGAGCCTGCCTTAGCCTCCCTGTGCCTGCTGCCCACCAGGAGCTGCCAGAGGTAAGTGCTGCCCAGAAGGATGCTGAGCCCCCTCCCAGAGCCAGCACCCCATCACTCTGCCCCAGCCCAGAGCCTCCTCCTGCACCCTAACTCCCTCCTAGAGCTTGGACCCCTCACCCCCTCCTTCACTCCAACCCACTGCCCCAAGCTCAGCCCAGAGCCCCCTTCCACACTGGGAACCCCTCAGTCCCAGTCCAGAGCCTGCATTCCCTCCTCAACCCCAACCCCCTGTCCCAGCCTGGTGAAAGTGAGTGAGGGTGGGGGAGAGTAAGCAATGGAGGGGGGGATGGAGTGAGCAGGGCGGAGCTTTGGGGAAGGGGAGGGGCCTCAGGGAAGGGGCAGGGTAGATCCTGGGGTGCCCCTAGATTCAAAAAGTGATCTTGGGTGTTAAAAGGTTGGAGACCACAGACTTAAAATGAAGTGAGCAGTTAAGGGTTAGCGGGCAGTAGGGTGTGTTATACATTGTAATGAACCATAAACCTAATGTTTCTAACTTCATAGTGTCCAACAAAGTTATGAATTTAAGTTCCCAGATTTGTCTTTTGAAGGTGTTTGTGCAGATTTCCTTTGACGTCAGGGACTGCATGGTCAGCTATGGAATGATTGCTTTGTGAAATGTGTTCATCTCTGGGTGATAGGATGTCTTTGTCATTTATCAGTTTTCTGTGTGAGTTCATTTGAGACCGGAGTGATTGTCTGGTTTCACCCACATAGTCGTGGCATTTGATGCACTGGATGAGGTACACCACATGTTGCTGTGAAAGGCATGTAGGACCCAGGGATCTTGAAAGGTGTGTTGAGGGGTATTGATCTTCATAGTAGTGGAGATATGTTTGCAGGGTTTTTCATCTGTTCTGAAAAGGTTTGGTCTGTGGGTTGATGAGCTTGGTGAAGCTGGGGGGGGGGGGGGTGTTTGAAGGTCAGAAGCGGGGGGGGGGGAGGTTGAAATTTTTGAATGTGCCAGACAAGCACGGATTTTTGAGACAGTACATGTTAAATGGATTTTTCTGGGGAGTGGGTAATGCCACAATACTGGTTATGCCCCCAAAAAAACCAACACCCAAAAACCAGCTTCTTGAAGCTACACCTGGAGGAGTGAGCCATTGGCTGGTTATTACTTGTTCCTGGAGACTAGAGATCAAAGGCCTGAGCTGCATAAAGAAATAGCTGATCTGTCTAGTTCTGGTTCTGGTTCCTGATTTGAACTTGTAACAACAAGGAAACCCAGTTGTGGGGTTTGAAGGACTGATGCTACCACTGCCTTAGGCTGTGGTAGCAGTGACCTCTGGTAAAGTTTTTATTCTCATTGTTTTCACTATAATGCTTTTATTTTAGGGAAACACATTCTTTCTTAGAGAGAATTGTGTGGTAACTTCAGTAACCATAGCCCCTGCAGAGAGCGAAGAACAGGCACTGGCCTTTTAGGCAAACTAACTTGCTGAGGATAGTGCAGGGAGTTGTGCTGCCTTACAACCATGGTCAGGAGGGAGTGAGAGAGGTCTCTACCCAGGATTGGTGACAGCTGGGAGCCAGAAACCTTTCAGCAGGTGCTCTTGAGGGACCACAGAGGGGGGAAATACAGATGCAGTTACCCTGAAACTGTGACGACATAAAAAGATATTCCTGAATATTCAGTGATGAGCTGGAAGGGGCTCTTGGGAAGGGGGGTGCTCTCAGAAACCCCTTGTTAAAACTTCACCCCTTAACTAGAGGGAGGATTGGGTTGATTTCCCTGAGTCTTTGGAGTCACCCCTCTCTGGAAATAGCAACTCTGGGGGTCATACAATCCTTCTGAAAAGGAAATCGGTTTGTACCAAATAAGCATTTTCAAGCAAATGTCCTAAGGCAGGATGTCCCCAGAGCCCCCTAAAACATCTCCACCCCTAACCCTGTCACATTACCCAAGCTAAGACTTGTGATATGCTCTCAATGCACTAGTACATTTTTCATAAAGACGGTATAAACACTTCTAGTAAAAGTGCAAGTGCCCAATATAAAATTGTTTGCCAAATGATGATGTGTTCCTCTTTGGCTGGAAGTGAGGAGAGGACTTTTGTTTAAAGTGAAAAACAAATGAATAGATTCTTCAATCCCTCACAGCTTCAATCCCACAGCACAGATGTCTCCAATTCAGAGTTTATCACAGGCTCAGAAGGAAGAACTAGTGAGATCCCTTGACAGCATTTAATTGATTACAACAGCTACATGTGATGGGGCAGAGACACAAACTGGTTTTAGCAAACAAGGAGTTAAGTTCAGCTTTCCCATCACTTTGCACAGCTGAGAGGACAGCATATAACAATAGGCACTTGAGAAGCAGGGAGGGGTGGATTGTTTTTGTGAAGATAGAGTTCCATTTACAGAAATATCATACAGTCCCACACGTTCTGATGGCAAACACTTTTTATTCCAAGTGTATAACAATTATCAGTTGAGGAAAATAACTTGTTAATTGCAATTGTCCTGCTGTTCCAGCAGATTATACTGGATAAATGTTAATTGTTGGCTGTTAAATGTATGTTCATGTAGACAGAAAAATATATCTCAAGTCCTTTAATTGATGGGTTCCCCACAATCCAGTTAACTCTCACTTAAGACATTTTCACTTGTTGAGGTAGCTGTCTACATTTATAGATATTTTTATAACCAATTTATTCCACTGCATTTTCTGAACTGACATGTTAGATGCTACTATTGTTGTGTGTGCCTAAACTGATCTGCTGGAGACGAGTATGTGAAGGTAGAGAGTAGAGCTGAGCAAATCCCGTGACAGTTTTACACTGTTCAGACTGCTTCTTGGATTTTCAGGATTTGTTAAAATTTGCATGCTACTTTTCTATTGTTTTTTCAAGGGAGTTGGAACAAATACAAGGTCTCCTCAGCTAGGAAAACACCTTTGCTGTGTATGGATTAAAGGACTACCCCCAAACAAATAGATGACCCTATACAGTACATATAATCACTGATTTTTGGTTATATACTGTTCTTTCCTTCTTTCTGGTCCTTTTTGTAATGCCTTTGTAAACGGTTTTTCTCTCCACTATCTTTTCTCCTATTTTTTTTCCCCCTGGAGGTTTGTTTGTTTTTTTGTTTTTAAATCTTCCGCTTCTGCTGTATGCCCCAGCCCCTGCCTTTCCTAAACAGAACACCAAATAAAATAATGTTCCAGTTCAAGTCAAACAGTTTAACTTCTGCTGTTAGTGGGTTTGAGATTTGACAAAGTAAATTCACTCATTCCTAGTAAAGCCTGTGTGCTTTCTTATGTGACTTTAAACTTTCTCCCAAATTGAAATGTTTTCCTTCTTTGATACCCACAAATCTATGTAGCCCTCACAAGATTATTTTCTGTGCATTAGTGACATATGAACTTCAAATGGGATTGTTTTAATAGCAATTATAATTGCATCCACCTAAAACAAAAATCTGTCCATTTCCCTAATCTTGCAACTGTTCCATGCCCATCAATGGGGATGTACACTGACATTAGTGGGGTTCTGAATGAGTGTAAGGGTACACCCACACAACATTTTTCAGGGTCTTAGCTTCCTTGATTGTGACTTGGTGACTAATGTGCAGGTACTGAAATTGGATTTAGATTCTAGAGGACCAGACTGAGGTTTTTACTTTTGGAGTTAGCAGTCCATGTTAAAACTGTGTTTTAGATATAGGGTGAAGGAAGGATGTTGAGGCTTCTTTTAAACGTTTTTCTTTCTTTACCAAAAAAATAAAAAGGCAGTGAACCCCACCTTAAGGAACAACCCAGGTGCCAATGAACAGCAGCAGCAAGAGGAAACCATGTCACAGAGATGGCACAAAACATGGAACAAACATGATGATCACAAAGATTATAGATACTGTAGTTATAACTATTAGTTAAAGAGGCAACTTATTCCATACCCACAGAGACAACTGATGCAGAGAGGTATAGCTAGATCAGTCCTGGCCTTGGATTCTTCCAGACATTGAGTAGCTGATGTTCAGTATAAGTGACATTATGAAAAAAGATATTTAAAGGGGTGAGGATAGGGTAGTTTGGAGAAGCCTAGCTTATGATAAAGATATCAGGACCACAGATGACAGTCAAAAGGGGTAATAAAACTGATAACTGATTAACATATTGCTGATTGCCTGGAGCAAAGTGGGATAATATAGAAACCCCTTCAAGTTAAGATATGTGCTGGATACTGTACTAGTGATTGGGCTATGCAGCTCTCAGATGTGAGCAATGGTGTGCCTTCACTGTTGATTGGTGGTACTAGTAAGATGGGCAATATATGTGACACTGGTATTTCAAAGCCTAATTTGTCCTGCCAACATTTTTAGCAGTACTAAAGAGGAAGGGGAAACCAACTCTCTCCAGAGATGCTCAACACCTTGCAGGCTCACCTTAATGGCACACTTCAAACACTTATGCACTTGAATAGTCTCATTCAAGTCAACGGGACTACTTATGTACACAGCTACTTACATGCATATTTGCAATGTCAGGACCTAAGAGAACAAGCACACTTTAAAAAGTAAGGATCATGCACCATGAGATGTATTGTTAGTTTATTTAGCAAATGTAGTTTTAACATTCATTGTTTACTATAATATAGAAATATTTTGTAGTGTAAGTTTTTTTTTTTTTTTAAGAAAACAACAAGGTTGATACAATGGTCTGCTAATCAACACCCGCATAATTTGCTTACAAAAATAAATAAATAGTAGTTTCTACCCACTTCCCAACAAAGACTTATTAGAGAAAGTCAAATGATCAAGCTTCTACTTCACTTCCACTTTGGGATCCTTTGTGCCCTAACACAGTGCTGGAATAGTTGTGCTGCAAACTCTGTAGGGGAATGTCCTGTACTTCAAAGCAAAACACGATCCCTCATTTCAATTTGGTTTCCAAAAATTTTGAGTACTTCTTTTTAACCCCAAGAACACAAATTTTTGGATCTCTTCTGTACTACAGGTCAAAATCTTCTACTTGACAGAAGCCTGGTACCAACATTAATAATTGCTTTAATATCTTGAGCCTTGATCTCGCAATGGCCTCTGTGCACGCAGACCCTACATCCACATAGAACCCCACTGAAGTTAGTGGAGCTGTGAACAGGTGCGAAGGTCTGCCTGTGTGAATCCTATGCAAGCTCAATGTTGTTGCTGTATAGCTCCTTGGGGAAACTGCCTTTTGACACAAAACAAGTCAGGGGAAAAATATTCCTTTACCCCTCGCCGCCCCCCCCCCCATCAAAAAGAAATCTTGACCTTCCTTGTTTTTTTGTTTTTGTTTTTAAAAAAAAAAAAAAAAAAAAAAGACAGTCCCTACATGTGTTTACCTACATACAGCATATGTGTCTGTGCATGAAACTTATTTTTAAATAGTCTGTTCAGGTTTTTTCATATAGAATTTTGTAGATTAAACTGTTAATGCTTATTGTTATTAGATAGAGGAAAATACCTTGGATTAATGTCGTCCTACTGAAGAGGAACACACAAAGGCCTATATCGGTGCACCACGGTAGGCCTCCCATAAATTTTTGGACAGCAATATAAGGTGTTGAGAGCCTACTGCAAGGTATGAAGAACCAGAGTTGGTTCTGGAAAATTAGAGGCTTTCAGTAAAGCCATTTGTTTGGACCTCCCAGCTGCAGGGTGCAAGAGTTAGTGTGTCACTTTCTCAGTCACTTGCCCTACACTTCTGTCATGCCAGCTAAAAAAAAGAAAGGCACAGTAGGTGATGTGTCCAGAGCTAATGTGGGTGTTTGTGGAAGTTTAGTGTTAAGGAAAACCTCTGCCATGACCCGTCCAGGACTGTGATAAAAAGGAAGATATTTTGATTCTTTTAGGAGGTTAAAGTTAGCAGTATCACCATAAAGCTCCCGTGGTAAAGGGACATGACCCATATCAGTCTAGCATTTTATTCTGTAGCTGCTAGGGATCCTGCATGACCTAGGAATCCACCTAAGGCTGCATCTGTGGCAGTATTATTTGAACTAACATACATGAGCACACTCCTATTGACTTCAACGAGAGGAGTGAGCCTTCCTATGACTGGTTTAAATGACACACAGTGCCTGAAGTGGGCACTCCGTGTAGGGGTAAATTTTATTCAGTACAAATTAAAAGCCTCATCCCCATCAAAACACCAAACTGCAAGCTATAATTGTATTACGGCTTGTCTACACTACAAAATTAAGTCGATTTTAATTTAGGTTGACCTACAGCCACCGCAGTAAGTCAATTGACTGTTGGTATTCATACTTCCCTACTTCTGCCCATAGTGCACATCATAGGTGGTGGGTGAACCCTCCCGCACTTCGGGAAGGCTAGCCCACCTACTTGGCCCCTCCCCCACTCACCCGCCAGAGCCCTGGGGGCCCCTCCCAGCCGGAGAAGCCCTGGCCAAACCACTCCAACCTCTCAGCCATGGGCTTGCCCGAGCCACCCCTGGCTGCCAGCCAGCTGAGTCATCCCTGGCCACCGGGGGCCTGTGGGCTGGCCCAAGTTGCCCCTGGCCACCAGCAGGCCTGGGGACCAGGCAGGCCAAAGCACTGGCCCAACCCTCAGGCTGGCTTGCGCTGCTCAGGGCCGCCAGCCAGACAAGCCTTGAGCTCCAGGCTGCCAGCCCAAGTTCAGCCCCTGCCGGCTTTGGGGGAGCAAGGGCGGGACCTTGGAGCAAAGCATAGGCGAGGCCATGGCCTGGGTTAGGAGAGGCTTAGCCTCCCCGACCTATTGTACCTGCCACTGATGGTGCACATCCTCACCAAGAGCACTTGCATGACTGAAGTGGGGCATTGTGGGACACTGACAGCAGTGCAGAGCTCATAGTGGAGTAACCCACCCTCCCCAGAGTGACAGCCTGAGCTGTGAGCCAAGGGCTCAATTTCACTGCTGGAAACCTACCAGCAGTGAAATTGACATTCGTGTCAGTTTCACAGCTTCCTCCTGCTCAGAGCAGCAGCCTGGGGCTCACAGCTGGAGCCATGAAACTGACAAGAATGACAACCAACAGCAGATCTAAGTAAGGCAGAGTCTATGCAGCCACTACACTACGCTGCCTTAATCACACTGAAATAAGCACTATACCTCTTGCAGAGGTGGAGTTATGTCAGTGTAGCAGGCCACTTGCTTTGGCAGAAGCAGCATTCTGGTGTAGACATTGACATGATTAGGTTGACGTAAGCTGCCTTATATTCACTTATCTCTGTAGGGTAGACTAAGCCTTAGAAAATGATATTGTTATGGCACACATCATGAGGTGGTGCTGTTACACAGTCTTCCAAGTTTGCCTTCTAGTGTGCAAGCAAATGTTTAGCTTTGGTATAGCACACGTTGTTGTTGTTGTTGGTAGTTAGTTAGTTTGGGGTTATGCAAGTTCTTCATGGAAGTCAGTGGTCAAGGAAGAAATGGCTGTGTGAGCTGTGGGAGAGTTTGCTCTCTGCCTTGTCTCTGTTAGAGTTGTTCTCTGGGAACCAGGCCTTGAAGTTGGGCTATTATTCCTGGGGGAAAAAAAGATTACCGTTAATGTGATCTAACCACCACTTTTCTAAAACAAGTGTATTGTCTATCCACTAGGTAGAGTACAGGAGTATACTCAGTCAATGCTGGGCACTGACCTGCAAAGCCCTTGGCCTCGACCTCTGCTACCATTTGCCAGATTGTTGAGACTAATATCAGAAGAAGGAGCAACACTATTGCTAAGCAGAGTTTACCATGCTTCACAACTTTTAACATGGTCATAGCTGTAGCTGACAGTTTAGGGCTCTGTTCTTTACTTTGTGATTAGAGTATGCTCCCTCCACGATCAGGCTGCATATATAAAATATTTATTTAATCTTTAAATCTTTATAACATGCACTTTGGAACAATTCAGTAGGTAGAACTCTCCTATTACCCCCCAACTAAGACTCTCCCATAACCATCCTCATATCTACTCAAACCTGTCACTTTATTTTTGCCACCACCCTCTGAAAAGTGAGGAAAAAACAACAATTTGAGAGAACAACCATATTTTGAAGCATATCCTGCAAGCTGAACAATCACGGTTCTGGGCAAAAGCCTGTGACTAGATTTCCCCCAGTGTGCAGTCTGGGACTAGCATGGGCCCGCTGTGCACCCCGACTCTTCCCCCCTGCTGCTTGCTGGGAGCTGATCCAAAAAAAAAAGGAAGCAATAAGATGCAACAAGCCAAAAACTAGCTAATAAGCAATTCACAAGCTAATTAAGCAAAAAACAAGCCCCATTTCTGGGTGTGGGGTTTTTTTGTTTTTTGTGTTTGTTTTGTTTTTGTTTTTTTTTGTTTTTTGTTTTGTTTTGTTTTTTGAGAGTTTGGCATGTCTGATAATGATGGTTTACTGTTGACAAGACTGTACTCTAAAATAATGTGCAAAAACATATCAATTAAGAGGAGGAAAGAACTGTGATTTATACTCTAAGGAAAATCTTTCATCTGCCTAGTAGCTGCATTGTGAAATGTGCATGTGCTCTCAGTCATAGCAGCAGCAAAAGTCCTTCCATGGCAAAGCATCCCACTGTGCTACCATAGCTACAACCATGTTCAAGAACGATTGTTAAACATTATAAACCATGCAAGTCAGAACCGGCCTCACGAATCATCGTCAACCATCAGTCAGGTGCATGATGCCATGCAATGGACTGACCAGCTCTACCAGCTGAACCCATCTACTGCACCCTAGGTGGCCTCTAAGGAGCGAATGCAACCCTAGAATTGGATGCAGGGGACTAGACCCCTGCAGCCACCATGGCAAGGTCCTTCATGCAGCTGTTTTCAGGCTCAGATCACAATGTATAACCGTGTAGTGTGTAGTAACGATATGTGGGGTGTGTACGTGTGTTTTCAACCTGGTCAGAGAGACTGAGTAGTAGTATACAGTAGTAGGTAAAACGTCCCCTCCTCTTGCTCGCTGTGAGCCAGGCAGCCCGATGTAATGCACGGGGACAGCTCCTTCGCCCTCCTGAAGCAGGAGCCTGCCTGATGGGAGAAACATAGGAACAAACAGCAAAGAAGAGAGACAGGCAGGCAGCCCCCATTGAATGGGTGCGCCGCTTGCGCAACCGCCCCCTTTACACCCAGTCAGCTACGCATTCCCGTTGGCGTAAATGCCTTCGCGCATACCGGTGCTGCACTGCGGAGGTGCTGCTCCTCAACCAAGCTTTCCTTGCTCGCTCCTCCCCCATCTTTGCTCTAGCCCCGCCCCCTTCCTCTGTTGTGATTGGCGGGGGTGGGCGGAGTCTCCGGCGGCGATTGGCCGTTGGTGTGCTGAGGCGGAGGTAGGTTGCGCGCAGGGTAATAAAGTTAGTGGGGCTGTCTCAGTGCGCGTTAGAAGCGGCCGCGAGTTGGATCTCTATGGAGGTGGTTGACGGAAGCTTTTGGCTGCTCCTGCTTGGGTGACTCGGAGGCTCGTCCTGCGTCGCACGCTCTCCCCCCCCCACCCCGCTCCCCGGCTCCCTTTTTCCCCCTCCCTTCTCTCGTCTCCTCCCCCCCCCCGCCCTTGGTAGCTGCCGGGATCCGGTGAAGCTGACGAGGCCCCAGGGAAGGTGAGGAAGCCGGTGCCGGCGGACAGCGTTGGGTGGTGGGGGGGGGGGTACTGTTGTCTAAAATGGCCGCCGCTAAAATGGCCGCCATCTTCTTTTCGCTTCCCCCTCTTTCTCCACTACAAAATGGCGGCTCCGGCCGCCGGGACCGGCTTCTCCCTGACCGGTGAGCGAAGGGCAGAGACTCGCAGCCCGTCCGGCTAGGATGAGAAGCCGTGGGGAGGTACCGGCTGCGGCGCGGCCGGGCAGGGGGGGGGAGCGGCGCGGGGAGCCGGTTACCGGCTCTGCCCTTGGAAGGGCGCCTCAGCCCGCTCGCGGCGGCGGGGTAAAGGGGAGGCGGAGGACTGATTTCTCCGGAGAAGGCAGTGTGGCTCCCGCGTAACCTGGGAGAAGGTGCCTGCTCCCGCCTACACCGGGGTGCAGGATGAGGGGTCCTGATCTGCCCCGGGGAGGGGCGAGTCCTTGACCCCCCGACTTGCCCGAGAGGGGGATGCGCCTTGGGGACCGTGGTCGCTCCCATAGGATCCCCTCGCTCCGCAGGAGCTTCACTTCCCGCCCCCCCGCCCCGTTTTGCGCTTCTCCCCGCCCTTTCGGGTGCCTCCCTGCGCCGGCGAAGGGGAAGCGCTTTGTCTGGGCGGCGAGGCCCTCGCGGGCTGCGCGTAGTTCTGGGGGGGGGGGGGAGCCGTCGCCCTGCAGAGGGCGGGCTGGGGCCTTCCTGCTTCCCTCGCCGAGAACAAAGAGCCGGCCGGGCCTGCTGCGCCTAGGAACGGGCGGCGCCCGGAGGCGGGGGCCAGGGGGGCGCTCGGGGCTCCGTGCGGCAGGGAGGGGGGAAGTGCCTGTGTCCTGCGGGGGCGTCGCTGCTGCCGCCTGCGTTTCCCGCAGCCCTTTTGTTCGGCTGCAGCCCCTTCTTGTTCCCTTCCCTTGCCCCCAGCCCTGAGCAGCCAGGGCAGGATTAGAAGGTGTATTGCTCACGCGGAAAGGATCCCTAAAGAGTAGGAGGTAGCGCTTACCTGCCAAACCTGCATAGGAGGGAGGGGGACTTCCTCAGGGGGAAACACCTTTCATGCGCTCATTCTCCAGTGACGAGAACTATACTAGGCTCCATCATGCTTTATCTCGTCACTTAATTTTTTAAAATGGCTGAGCCAGTAGAAAAGGTTGTGGAAGGAAAATTTTGAAACACAGAATTGTTCAGGTGCTCGATCTTTTCTTTTCAGAGCAGACTACCTCCATGATGAGTACTGCTCTGATTTTTCTTTTAAAGGCCACCCACATTTCCAGGCATGCTCAAACTATCTCCATCTTTGGATCTTAACCATTTGTGGGGTGAGGCAAACGGGGTTTAAAGCAGTTCTGTAGTTAAATGACTATCACATGGATTAGATATTCATGTGATCTTAAATAGGTCTGGATTAAACCCTTTATGATCTGGCACATCTGTTCACACTACGGTTTTTAGGATGCATTCCTGTTAAATTTGATATTACTGCATGGCTGTTCCTGCCAAACTTAACAATAGTACAAATAAATCTTAAATTAAGTAACCTGTAAGAAAAAGGTGCCTCTCGGACAAGAACTGAGACCGTATTTTTGGCCACAAGAGAATGATTATGGTCGCATAATCGAGTTTTCTGAGAATGTCCCTACATTGCTTTATGTTGCTGATGTCATCAAGTGTTGCACATAAGTGAAGGAATAAACTGACTTTCAAGCTGTATTTAAGCTCTGGGGGAGTGCTTTTTAATAAAAGCCCTTGGTTAACACAAACCACATTATTTGAGTTTAATAGATGTCATCCTGCTGAAGAAAAGAACTCTGATATGAGCACAAGCGAATAATTGTAATATGATCTCTTGATTTATTATTCTAGGTTTTTTTCCCCCCACCCTGTCAATTTATTATTCTTTTGAAGATTCTTCGTTGTCAAGCCGCCAAAGTGGAGAGTGCGATTGCAGAAGGGGGTGCTTCTCGTTTCAGGTAGGTTTTTTCCCCTCAATGACAGACTATTGTAAAATAACTCAAAAGCAAAATGTCTGGCAATATATACGTTGAACTGTCTCTCTGAGAATTTTAAGTTCGTTTCATATGCTAAGTGAGAGATTAATTGTATCACTTTTAACTTCTGTTTGTGAAGGATGTATAGCTAAACTTTCAAATAAAATATACAAAAATCGTGTAGCTAGTCCTGAGCTAGAGAGAGTACTTTTGAAAAGCCTTGAATAAAGATATTTTCTTCTCTGAAACAGTGCTTCTTCAGGCGGAGGAGGTAGTAGGGGTGCACCTCAGCACTATCCCAAGACTGCCAGCAACAGGTATGTCATATTGCCATGGTGGTAAAAACATATACAGCCATAAATAAGGAGTCTGCATGCATGCAGCAATTATTGATCTCAAACCTGTAGACTTCTCTAAGACACCATGTGATTATACTTTTTGTCAGTTTTTGTTAGCTTGCTAACAGATAACACTGACAAATCTTATTCCAGTTTTGTATACAAGAGAAAAAGACATTTACGTTTTTAGTTAGACTGGCCAACTGTAGGCAATTACTAACTTATTAGTGCTAATATCAGATTTCATTTAACTGAAGTGAAGTAAAGGGGGTATGGAGAGGAGTTGTTGGGGATCCTAGAGAATACCCAATCCTGCAAAAGAAGTATGTGGGTCTCCGTACTGTCCCCATAGGCTAAGGGCGCACCTATTGCACAACCAGTTGCAGGTTCATATCCTAAATCTAAGGTGACATTCAATGCTTCTGCTGCTTGTGACAATATTTGAGCAAAATCGTTTTTTCTCAGTTTACTTATTTATATTTTTCAATAAATATAGCGAGTTCCTGGGGAAAACCCCAGGGCAAAACGCTCAGAAATGGATTCCTTCACGAAGCACTAGACGAGATGACGACTCCGCAAATGACAAAGAACGACATGATGCAATCTTCAGGAAAGTAAGAGGGTAAGTTGGTCTGTTATTTTTAAGGTTAATATCAGCTGGCAAAATGGAGTACTAAAAATTACCTTTTTCCCCCATATTGTCTTGCCAACCTGTAGTATAAGTACTTTTATACCAGTAGTTTTCAACTTGTGGTCTTCAGACCCCAAGGGGTCTGCAGACTACATCCAAGATTTCCAAAGGGGTCCACGCTTAAAAGTTAAAAGTTGTGGGGTTTTTTGTTTTCATTTGTGGACCCCTCCCCCCAAAAACAACAAAACAAAATGTCTTATATGGTTAAAATTGAAATACATAGTTCCTAATGGAAGGGTTAGAAGGAGGGGCAAATACATGTGCATAAACTTATGAGAGAGTATTCCTGAAGCTGGTTAGAAATTCCTGAGTAGCCGTCTTCTGTAAGGGATTGGTGGAGCAGGAGCAGTAGAAAATATGAATTGTCTGCCCTGCATCATGTAAAAAAAACTTTAAGGGGGGGGGATTAAGACTGCTATATTCTCTTTGCTACTGAGTGTATTTTTCATGTGCCCTAAAACCTACTTTAGTTGACAAACACACAAAGTAAATTCTGCATTTTCCACAGTATGCATCCGATGAAGCGAACTGCAGCTCACGAAAGTTTATGCTCAAATAAATTGGTTAGTCTCTAAGGTGCCACAAGTCCTCCTTTTCTTTTTACAAAGTAAATTGCTCTTGTCAGAAGTGAAAACTGGAAGAAAACCAGGAGAACTCGAATCTTAACCCCAACTCATGTAGATTAAACTGTATGAGCTATGTGAACATTTTACAAACATAACTGATTCCTCTTAACTTTTTTTTTTCCTCTAGCATACTAAATAAACTTACTCCTGAAAAGTTTGACAAGCTATGCCTTGAGCTCCTCAATGTGGGTGTAGAGTCTAAGCTCATTCTAAAAGGGATCATACTGCTGGTAAGTCAGGTGTATTTTTAAGTGCTTATTAATTTAGTATTCAATAAGAATAAGTGATTGTACTAAAACTTAAGTTTTTGCTTAAAGGATGATTGATCTTGGTTAAAGTCTCAGAATTTTTCCTGATATATAAAATAGGGATAAATAGATGACGGAATATTGCCCAAAACGTAATTTTATTACATATTGGGGGTTACAACTGGAAGAGAAGCCGCAGTCTAACTAATGAGCAATTTAATGTTTATGCATATATTAAAACAACCTTTCCTGGTAAAGTTTTCTACAGTAGTACAGGATGTGAAGACTTTTTAATCTGAAGCAGGCTTTTATTAGCCACAAATGCTTCTGATATTTCTATAGGTGGTCTTGGGACTCTGTTACACTTTGAGTGCCAAGTGATAGTGTAGCCTTTTTTTTTTTTTTTTTGAAACATTGCTACTAGTAGTAGTTATACTGTGCAAAATAATTTGTACTGTACTACCCATCTTTGTGCTCTGTGTAAATTACTTCAGTATAGTCAGGTGAACTAAAGTGGGGCTGGCAGGGACTTTGAGAGATAATCTAGTCCACAGACACACACCATGCTGTGACTCCCCCTGGTGCAGAGGCAGAACCAAATACACTCATTCACATGAAATAAAAGATGTGTGAGCTCAGGCACAACTACTGTCTAAATCCCATAGCAATGTTGTAAGGCTGTAATAGATTCTGAGGTGGTTGGATGGGAGGGAGGAGGGTATTTTTTAACATTGGAATACCAATGTGTTGAAGGTTACACAAGATACTCAAGTTCTCAAAGGCTATAAGAGGTTAGGAAATACCAGGAGTCCATCTGGAACAATAGTCACATATAAGAGTGACTCTTGTAACTGTGTGACTGGGTACTTTGCCCCCAAATAGACAGTTTTAAAAAGTCCCCTGTTAGTGTCCTGTTGAAGATATTCACTACTTAATCCTGAAAGGTTTCAGAGTAACAGCCGTGTTAGTCTGTATTCGCAAAAAGAAAAGGAGGACTTGTGGCACCTTAGAGACTAACCAATTTATTTGAGCATGAGCTTTCGTGAGCTACAGTCTGCTGCAGTTTCCACGGTATGCATCCGATGAAGTGAGCTGTAGCTCACGAAAGCTCATGCTCAAATAAATTGGTTAGTCTCTAAGGTGCCACAAGTACTCCTTTTCTTTTTAATCCTGAAAGAGTATCTTAAAGTTTGAATTAAAATCTAATCAATTACGGTACTAGAAACATACTATTTTCTTTAGATCGTAGACAAAGCCCTCGAAGAGCCGAAGTATAGCTCCCTGTATGCTCAACTATGTCTGCGGCTGGCAGAAGATGCACCCAACTTTGATGGCCCATCAGCAGAGTGTCATCCAGGACAGAAGCAAAGCACAGTGAGTGTCTTATTCCTCTCTCTCATTGAAAATCTAAACTTTTTGCTTGTGTGGTTAATTGCATTGGTCTGAAACCTAATTATATCTTGTTTGTAGACATTCAGACGCCTCCTAATTTCTAAACTTCAAGATGAATTTGAAAACCGCACCAGAAATGTTGATAGTAAGATTAAAGCTAGTCTATATTAAATTTAGACTTTATATTTTATGTATATTTGTAGAGTATTGTTGACACACTTTTCTCTTTTCGTCCAGTCTATGATAAGCGTGATGGTCCCCTCCTCCCGGAGGAGGAGGAACAGAGAGCTATTGCCAAGATCAAGATGCTGGGGAACATCAAATTCATTGGAGAACTTGGCAAGCTTGATCTTATTCATGAATCTATCCTTCATAAGTGCATCAAAACAGTAAGTGTCAGGACTTCCTAAACTTGGTGTGTAACAACTTGGTAAAATAGTTCTTTACAGCTAACATTCAAGTGTGAAAAAATAAGAAGTGTGTATGTAGGAAAATTTGAATAGTTAATGACCGTGCAAAATACTTTGCGGATTTTTTGTTTTGTTTTTTTCAAGGGGGGCAACTTTCAGTGCAGTATATAGCTTTATCGAACAGATAGAGTTCTCATCTTGGAGAATTCTCATAGATTTTAATTTGGTCCAGATATTTTGCAGAATCAGGTTCTACATAGAGAGAGGGGAGAGCATTCTGTATTTTGAATTAACCTCATAACTGTCTGCAGAAAGATCCCTCTCTTAATGGAAATAATCCCTCTTTAATGTTTTAGCTTTTGGAAAAGAAGAAGAGAGTCCAACTCAAGGATATGGGGGAGGATTTGGAGTGCCTCTGTCAGATAATGAGGACAGTGGGAC